GATTTTTGGCTAGTTTTTTAAAATGGCCATAACTCGAAAAATATTTGTCGGAATCAGCTCAAACTTTCTACACAGCATAAGGACATCAATATGCATCAGAAAATGTAATAAAAATTTGGTGTGATTTCGGAGCCAATTTTTGGAAAAAAACATGGGCTATACCCTTGGGAATTTTTCAGAAATTTAGAGTTTTAAAAAATAGTCATAACTTTGAAAATATTTGCCTCAAACTTTCTACATAGCATAAGGACATCAATATGTATTAGAAAATGTAATCAAAATTGGGAGTTAACAATACATGTCATCTTTTTCTTTTCCTTTATCTAGTTCATTTGTTTTGGATGCATTTAAAAGAACATTCTGTAATGAAGACCCAGTCAAAAACACCATACCTTATTTATGGGAGAATTTTGATAAAGAAGGCTACAGTATCTGGAGATGTGATTACTTGTATCCGGAGGAACTCAAGATGACATTCATGGCTTCAAATCTAGTTGGTGGGTTCTTCCAGCGCATTGAGAAACTCCACAAGTACGGGTTTGCTGTCATTTATGTTCTTGGGGAGAACTACAAGCTGAACATTTCTGGCTTTTGGATCTTGCGTGGGCAGGAACTAGCATTTGATGTGAGTTCATCTTTGTACTTCTATTAGGAATCATATCTCGGTTGTTTTTGCAATGCAAGATTAGTCATTGCTAATGTCAACCCATTATACCGTATACCGGTTTATTTTTTATGGTGGAAAGTTTCCGCAAATCTTGCATTTCTAAGATTTTGGAGTTACAAGTAATTTTCACAAATAGCTTGCAGACTGCACCACTTGGCAATGGGGATTCAGAATTTTGTCGTGGAAATTTTTGTGATGGAACAAAATTCACAAAAATGTTTTACCTCGAAAATAAACCGGTATATGGCTTGTATTTGCACACCAGGCATGTCTTGATGGTTGTATTCTTGTGTACTGTTAAAGACTAACAGTGTGTGCCATATTGAACTAATGGACTCTCTTGCGACCCACCAATGCTAGTACTAGCTTGACTTTGTGTGTTTGTGGTACTGAGAGCAAC